AGTACCTTTATAAATCAAACAATATAATTTATTAATACTAAACAATAGTTGATATGTAATTTTTGTTTTTGTAATTTAAAAGACGAATCATGTAAGTAGTTTATTGTCAAATTCATTTTGTTAGTATAGTTAAATTTTAATAATTTTAGTATGCATGCATACTATGTATGTGTTTTATCCGAATTTGAGATATAAAGTTGGTATAAAAACATTCCTGGGGATCAAATTTATAGCTCAATGTCTTATAGAATATAATTGTTCTGACTGCCATTCTATATATATTAAAAATAAAAACATTCCAATAAATTTTAAAATTTGCTCTTGAATATAAATACTAAGAATCACTTAATTATTTAATAAGAATATAATGAATTAATAAATGAATAACGTTTAATTAAGTTATAGTATAGTTTATTAGTTAAACAGTTATTTCTGTTTTTGTGATATTTAAAGAAGTTATCTGTGTTCAAATGATTTTTAATATTTGTTAATTTTAAAAACCGAATTCAAAAGATGATCGAGTTGTTGTTTTTAACACAATTTCTATATGTATGATTTTACTTTTACCTGAATTCAATGTTAAAAATGGGAACAAAAAGCACAATACCAAATCGATGAAATATAAAACCATAAAATCTAAGTTGCCATTCTCCTGTATATCAAAAATCTATTATTACCGTAAAATGCAGGTCATGTCCGCATTTCCACGAAACACATTTCCAGTGTATTTTCACGGTCTGGTGAAAAATGCAAAAAATTGATTTTCCAATGAATTTAATGCTATAACAAAACCGCACCTCTCCTGTTCAGGACGAAAGGCATTGTGTTCTGACCGAGTTTTCGCATTTTTCCTCTCGTTGTTGTATATTCCCTCGGGAAATTTTATTATTATTTTAAATGCGACGAATGAATATTCACGAGATCCGTGCGCGTTCGGCGTCGTCTTTTTTTTGCATCTATCTCCAAAGCCGAGTTTTTACATTTGAATCTGCACACACTACTAAAATGCATTGGTACCGAAGTTTGGGAAAAATAATATAAAATGGAAATATGCAGTTTGTACACTGAGGGTAATAAAATTCCATAAGAATTACACGATAATTGATAAAATATAAACTTATTCAGATAATTGCGAAAGCCGCCTCGAAGATCAGCCAAACCAAGGAAAGATCAGAAAAGAAATTCATGTTACATTTATTATGCCACTTTTAAAAATCTCTGAAAGTGTTTACAATTTAACTTGTCCATTTTTGACACTTTATGCCCTGTACCTCTAAACGGCTCGACCTGCTTGTGCCAAAAACTGATCAGCACGTCTCCTTATCAATACGAATCAAATGTTTTTTGAATTATTCAAATCGGTTGACTCGTGTCGACAAAAATATATATTTGTGCACATACACACACACATATATATATCCATTTTTTCCGAAGTATGTCAAAATGCTCAAAAGACCTTAAAACGTAAAGATTTGCAAAAACTTTTATTTTCGATTTTTTTGCGATTACTATAGCTTACCCTACGGAAAGTAAAAAAAATCGAGAAATTCTATTCACGCTGTCTTATGAAATATGACTACTTAACTATATTATAGAATATACACCATTTTATACCTCTTTAATCATATTGATTGGAACCAAAGTTGAGAAAATTTTAATAAAGTAATAATATTCTTTTTGTATATTAAGAATTTATAAAAATAACTAAATATTCTTACAAAAGTTAACGCTGCCTGATAAAATTTGCTGTCGATAGCTTTTTTATCAATGCATTGGTACCGAATTGTCGAAAATAAGATAAAAAATTCTTCTTTTTCTATATATGAATTGAAATGTTAATGAATTTAAATAAAATCTCTTAAATAAAGTCATTGAGTAATTGTTTATAATAATGCCATCTAGTTCAATACTAATTTATTCAATAAGTATTCTTGAAATACCTGATTTATTGCAGTAATGAAATAATTGGTTATATTCATTGTAAACATATTTTGATATATATTTCCAAGTGGAAATAGATTTTACTACTGATTGATACCAGGTTGCACAGAACCTGCTACTCTTCTATTAAAATTTTAAACAATAGATTCTAATTTCATAAAAAAAATATATCATATATAAGTAAATATTTTTCAACCAGCAATAAATAAAAAATATGTACATTATAAATAAATGAGACAAGTAATAAATTAATAATCAAAAATTTGCAAGTACTATACATTCGATACAACTTTTTCAAATTGTTATTACAATTCTGTACTTAACTTAATTTAATAAAATTTCGATTTCATATTTTATTTTGGTAAACCCTATTTTAATTTTAAATCAAAAATATCTCTTTTACATCTGTTTCATGGGCCATAAAATTGGAAAGAGAATTATTTGTTAACATAAAACCACTTTATGAGCCATAAATTAAATTAAAACTAATAATATTTTTCAAGATTTGATCAATATTTGTTGAAATCGCGAGAAGAGATATAATATCCGAATAAAATGAAGTAAAATCATTTATATGAATTATTAAAAAGTACTCTTCTACCGGAATTATTTTATTTTATCACTTTTAAGTTAAAAATAAAATTCTAAAGAAGAGAGTATTTTGTTCTGATGTTCAAAGTTCGCTCGTGAACAATGTGATTATTGATGCAATATCATAATATTCTGTATTAAGAAACGATTTTCAAGAAATAAAACTATTTTGCTCCTTAATAAATGTATAATACAATGAATTTTTTGATAAATTAAAACTTACCCTATATTTAAATTTTTTCTCTATTTTTTTGGTTTCGATTTTTCTTTTAACTGGAAATATTTAGTTGACTTTTAACTAGAAAAATAAAGTTGTAAATATGTTGATATTATTTGAACCGCAGAAGAATATAAAAAATATGTGTTAATAATCTACTAAATAAAAATTCAGGCATAGTAAATTTAAAATTATGACGATATACTTGCAATTACAAATTTTAGAAAAAATACAAATTTCTTTGTAAAATTAATAATAATAATAATAAATTATTAATCATAACTTATACTTTATTTATTTACCTAAACTGGTTATACTTTCAACAAATAATTTTTTAACTATAAACTAATATAGCAATTAAATTCAACAAAAAACAAATAAAAACAAAATCAAATTTTATAAAAAAATAAATATTATAGATGTGTCTTTTAAATTGGGCCCCAAATTTGAAATCCTCGTCCGCCCCTGTCGTCGTGCAGGAAACGAACCCGGACGCAACGAAGCTAGCGGATGCGAGACGGAAAATCGGAAAAGGTGCAAAAGAAAAACGTTTCACCCGAGGATATTTCTCATCAGAGAAATACGGAAAAGCTCAGGGTCGTACAAAATAATGGTCGGAAAACATATTGTTATGCATGGAATTATTAAGCTCATGGATGAACTTAATCCGACGAGGGAAGATTATGGATTTTATTACGCGTATGGAATACAATGATGTTGGGTATTTATTTATTATATATTGTATTATAATTAAACCGTTTGTCTAAAATGAGTGAAATGTTTGAGGAGTTTGTTGAAAATTAGAGTATAAGAGTTCTAGGATTCCAATATCCTGCTGCAATCCCTGGTATTTAACACGTTAATCTCTATGATATTAACAAAACTTCACATTGGCCATAGTAAATTTATTAGATAAGGCAAAACAGGGCTTAAAGATCGGCAGGTAAAAATGTCCATCAACGATATCTCAAAAACAAATAAAGTAAGTATTTTTTTAATAATAATATTTGAAAGTAAAGGGCAAAATATATGTAACTAGTCATCATCATGATTCATACAACGTCACTATCAGAAGATAAACCGCAATGTGTTTGAAAAGCCATTACATAAGTATTTTCTTTCGTTGTTAGTTTTTTTGGTTGTGATCACTGTTGTTTAGTTTACGAGACCTGAACATAATTTTACTATACGTTATTTATTTGTCTTAAAAGATGTATTGTTATTTATAGTTGGATACATCATTTTTTATATAACTTCTATAAAAGCTTATATGTGAAACTAACTGAACCTTTACCTTGGCAAAGGTGTAAACAATAGAAATAGTAAATGAAATAGTAAACTAGTGGGGTGCATGGCATCGTGCTTTAAGACAAATTGCTGGAACTTACCGTACCGTAATTAAAAATCTTGATACGGAACCAAAAAAATTTACACAAAATGTGTACACATTATTAAAATCTATAATATATCTGATAATTTGATGTATATGTGACCAATAAACATTTTTGATCGCTAAATGACATTTTTTTAACTTATTTTTATTGAGCGTTCATAACAGCTGGACCTGCCTTCCCAAAATTTTAATCAGTTCTTCATCTTGTCAATACAAGCAAAATGTTTTTTGAATGATTAAAATCGGACGCTGACTGAGTTACCGTTTTTGTCACTTTTTGCCTCGTATCTTCGGAACGGCTGCCTTCGCTAAAAAACTAATAAACACGTCTCTTTATCAATACGAATCGAATGCTTTATGAATTATTCAAATCGTTGATCAGTATTCCCAAAATCGTCGACGAAATTTGTATCCGCACACACACACATACAACCATTTTTTCTAATTTTAAGGTATGCCAAAATGTTCAAAAACCTTTGAAACGTAAAGATATATAAAATTTTTGTTTTACGGGAAGTTAATTAAGTTAAAAAAACAATTTTCATTAAATAGTTAAATACATATTTATTCTAATTCTGCTGATAATTATTTCTGACAAAATACCAGATCAGTGTGATCTCTGTAAAAAATGTACACATAAAATTTATATTTTGCATTTAGTTGAATAATGTAGCTATTATTTCGTAAAAACTCTTTAAAATTAAAAATAAAACATTGAATCTATTTATCCCCTAGCTGTATCATTTTACCCCGCCCATTTTCTCACAAATTTTCCTCATAAGTAAATGAATTTTTGAATTTTACTCTATATCTCATATAACAATATTGCTTTATTTTATCCAGTATATAAAAAATTACGATTTCAGCCATTGTAAATTCGCAACGATGATACCCCATGTTTTACATCGCGTTGTTTTCATTAAGTAAAATAAAAGAAAGAATATTCCCCATGCAATACGAGCTTTACAATATGATATTTTATTTCTCATGTATTTTTAAAAACATTCAGAACAATTCATACTGCAAAAGATGCCTTTTTCCTCTTTTCCTTTTTTCTTCTTTTGTAAGCATTTGTATTTCGTTCGGAAAGAATCAGTAGTGGTGATAAAATGTAAAAGTTGTAGGATACATGTTTTTAAAATACGTATTCAAATTATTTACAAACTTCTCAATTATTTAGATTGTATCATGGAATTTTAAATTGAAAGTATTGCTTATGAAAAATACATAAATCGATGTAAGTACCAATATTCAATTTAGTTTTTTTTTCAAAATTGAACAACTTAACATAGAGCCGTATATCCTGTATGTTTTCCAATACCATGAAATAATTGTGAAAAGTTTCACCAAAAATAAAAAAAATAAGAATTAATTATGAAGAAATAGCCCAGTAGATCTTTACCAAAAATTAATCAGTACGAATACTAATCAATATCCTACGAATTTTCAGAATTGTTTCTAAGATTGTCGGTAAAATGTGAACAAAAAGGATATAATTTTTAGAATAAGTTATTTAATTGTTTCAAAGGTGGTATTGTTATTTTTAAGTTAATTTACGTTTTTATTCACTATTTTTTATTGCTTACTCCTTTGTCAGGGTAGAGGTTCAGTTGGTTACGTTTATGAATTGAAGAAGTTTATGTTTTCATAAAAAAATCCGATTCGATTTTATGTTTTCTCGACGTTTCAAGCCATTCTGAATGGATTGAGACCAAATTTGGAAAAAGCATGTGTGTGTGTATATATGTGTATGTGTGTGTATGTAAACAGATTTTTCGCCGTAAATCGACGTTTTCTCAAAAACAGATGGGTCGATTTCAAAAATTTAAAAGCCATTCGATTTATCTCGATGAGGACTAGAGTTTATCAATTTTGCGCGACGGTCAGCCAAGCCGTTTCTTTCTGTTCTGAATAGATTTTAAAAATCCAAAAACGAAATTGAAAAGATATTGGCTGGGAATCGTGCTGATTAGTTTTTGGTGAATCGTTTTTATCGGCGAAAACAAACTTCGTCTTCGGTGAGTGAAAATTTATGATGCCTTGCATCTTGATGATTTAATTTGAATTAATTTACATATAAATAATAATTTTATTATTCATTTAATTATCTCTAAGAGCATAAGTCTAACTCTTCTCTTAAATAAATAACGAATGAAATAAAATTTGATTACGGACTGTGTAGAAGGATAATAATCCTCCGTTTCTCAGCAAACACACAATTCTCGGTCCATGTTTGCAGAACTTCTTCAGTTTCTTCAATTATATTCGTCTTGTGCGTATTTTGCCCTGTTTACATATTTAATTATTATTAACGCCGTTAACCAGGCCGTTTTCGTATAATGTTCTTGTTTTCTTACTGGATCCATCTGATTTTTAATTGCTCCGTTAGTAGAGAACAAAATTGCGATGAAAATTTGAATTGGATTTAATTAAAACTTAATTGGTGCTGCTTATAACATTATAAGGATTTTATTAACCAGATGTTCAAGGAATCAAAAACAAGTAGAAGATCACTGAAATAATTTGAAACTTAGTAAAAACGTTTTCAGTTTTATTAACTTCCCGTAGGGCAAGTTATAGTAATCGCAAAAAAATCGAAAATGAAAATTTTTATATATCTTTACGTTTCAAAGGTTTCTGAACATTTTGGCATACCTTAGAAAAAATGGATGTATGTGTGTGTGTATGTGTGTGTGTGCGTGTGTGTATGCAGATACAAAGTTTCGTCGACGATTTCGGGAACACCGATCAACCGCTTTAAATATTCAAAAAACATTCGATTCATATTGATAAAGAGACGACGTGCTGATTAGTTTTTGGCGAAGGCAGGTCTAGCCGTTCCAAAGATACGGGGCAAAAAGTGCCAGAAACGGTAACTCAGTTTTTAAGAGAACGGAGCGTCCGATTTTAATAATTCAAAAAACATTTTACTTGTATTGATAAGATGAAAAACTGATCAAATTTTCATAAAGGCAGGTCTAGCGGTTTCGGAGATCTAACAAAAAAGTAAAAAAAATGCCATTTGGCGGTCAAAAATGATCATTAGACATATGCACATCAAATTATCAGATATTTTATAGAGATTTTAACAATAAGTATAAATTTTGTTTGCATTCCCATGGGTTCCGGAAAAAATGTTTGTTCGTAGGACGGCGACGCGGCGCTTACGCGCTTTGACATTTTGTCTCTATGTAGTTAAAGCAGTACGATTGTTTTGAAAAAAAGTTCAGAATTTCCAAAATATGCCAAAATAAAGAAATAAGACAAGAAAGAAATAAAGATTTTTTTCAAAAAATGTAATTTTTTGTCAAATTCCTAGTTTTTCAAAAATCATTTTTTCTCGAAGTAAAATTTTTCAAAATCGTTTTCAAAAAAATAATATTTGGTACGGGAAGTTACAGCAATTTGCCTTAAGGCTAGATGCCATGCGCTTCACTAGTTTAATCCATACTTCGTGAGTACTGTTTATAACATTACCAGGATTTATTATCCAAATTAAGTTCGTGGAAGCAAGTAATTAGCTATCGTTTTGAGCAATTTTTTTTGAGTAAAGCATGTAGATCAATAAATATGTTTAGATTCTAAGAAATTTTAAAAATATTTGTTTTAATTATATCTCATAAATAATTTTATGAGCTCCCTATTTCATATTACATGGCATCATTTTTAAAAATGATTCTGTGTGTCAGTTTCCCACCATGATGTGTTTATTTTCATACATAATAATATCAAAACTGGAATGCAGCATTTTGAAGGATAACTTAGATTAAGCAATATTATATTATGTCCGGAACTTTGCGAATTAATCTGGAATGATGGAGCACAACCATTATAAAAGTTTTCGAACGCCTGTACCGCCTCTCTATATGTATGTAGTACGCCTGGCTTATTTCGTATTCATGCCACTTTGTCCTCTCAACTACGCCGCAAATTTATAATGTAATAATAAATACATGCAACATGTTAACTTTATATGGATTATTTTATCTAATCGAAATAATGCACTTTCCTTGATGATGGTGATAAAAAATTTAAGGGCACTCACAAAGTTTTTTTCAATAAAAATTAATATTAAACCATTTTACCATTAAATTCTGGCCAATTTTGCAGTACATCTTATCCTTCTTTCCTGGTACGAAAAACTGTAAAAATGCTATCTATTTGCTGTGCGATTACACAGCATCACCTAGATTTGTTTGTAAATTACGCCTAATCGTACAAAAAGCATTTTCACAATTTTAGTACCAAAAAACAAGGATAAGATAGGGTTGCCATAACAACGACGTGTTATCGGTCCTTATCGTTCTTTAAAATTAATTTTATGTAGTAATTTTTTCTAACATTCCTGAATTAGTAAAAATATAATATATTAAAATATTATGAATGTTATAGTTTAAAACAAAAAAACAAATATTCCGTTATTATTAAAAGCACAGTTCGACTTTTTTAAAAGATGCCTTTCATGAATGAAATATTGATATAACCAGAGCTAATATAGGTTAACCGAGAAATAGCAATATATAAACCAGATTCATTAAGGGCAAGAGCAAGCAATATTCTTGATATTTCGAAAGCTATCATCAAATTCCAGAATATAATCACCAATATACAGG